CAGACATCCATGTGTTTGAATCCTGCCTTTGCCATTTAGCTCCTGTGTGACTGTGGATAAACTATTGAGACTCTTTGCATCTCCATTTTCTTATATATAAATTATGGGTAGTTACACTCAGTTTACAGCAGTATTATAAGAAGTAAACAACATGGTGGATAAAAGTGATTATCAGAATAAATAGGATACAGCAAGTACTTAACACATAATAATACACTACTTGGCATTTGTATGATTCTTATTTGATATTTGCTATCTAAGTTAGTCAGCTTCCCGTCACTATAACAAAATACCTGAGATGATAAACTTATAAAGAGAAAAGGTCATATGGCTCACAGTTTTGGAGTTTCCAGTCCCTAATAAGTTAGCCCTGTTGCTCTGTGTTTGTGCCAAGCTCACACACTATGGTTGGAATGCATGGTTGAATGAAAGCATCAAAGCACAACCCAGGAAGCAAAGAAATAGAGGAATGGCAGAGGCCCCCCCATCTGCAAAGGCACAGCTGTGGGACTTAAGGACCTGCCACAGGCCCATCGCTGAAAGGCTCCGCCCTGAGAACCAAGCTTTAGCACATGAGCCTTACTAGGACATTATCCAAATGTAGCACCACCTTTAAAAAAAAACCTGAAGATTTCAATAAGAAAAAGGGTGAATGAATGATCTGTGTGAGATGAAAATAAAAATCCCAGCTGTTCCCAACCAGGAATTCTATTCCTTTTACTTTCTCTGAAACTTCCTGCCCACATTCCCCAGGCGTTCATCTGTGTCTGAGTTTGCCAAATCTTTATGTGTACTTAGTTCAGCTAAGACAAATTAAGAAAAGGAATGAGGCATTCTGCGCCTGGGGATTTATGGGAATTGAGGAAGAGGATATGCAGAACCTGTTCAAGTAGCTTTCCTTAAAAGAATAAGCCTAAGACATCACGCTGTCCCATGAAGTTGGCCAGGTTTCTGTCTCTCCATCCATCATCCTTTGATGTCCTAGAAGGGATTGATTTTATCTTCAAGACTGCTGCCTTCTAACTCTTTTCCCATTTTGCCTTTTTCCTTTCCTGGCAGGGGTTAGAGTTTTGGTGCTCCCAGTAGAAAAATAATATGAACTCATGAAACCAACATTCTGTAAAAAAAAAAAAAAAGCTGAATCTCATGGAACAGGAAAAATAAAAGACCAGAGCCAGGAAAATTCCTTAAAGAGATAAAATGAAAAAGAGGAAGGACAGAGAGAAGAGGTAGGACAGAGAGAAGAGGTAGGTTTGGCAGAAAAATATATTAAAATTATTTCAGTGCCACTATTTTAGTCACAGAAACATTACACAGAAAGGGGACGTCTAACTTTTTTGGGTATATCTTCCAGCATATACACTTTCCTGAGAAATATTTCACCACATTAATTCCTAGCAGCCCCATCAAGCTTCCCTTTTATGCATTCTATCCCTGAATTCACAGTTATCTGAGCTTGTTATCAATGCTTTCCTCAGTTCTGTGGAAGCAGAGGTGCTCCCCGAGTAGCCGCAGAAACGATCAGTCCAATGAGAAGGCACATCACTTGGTCTTCTCTCAGGCTGGCTGGCTGCCTAAACCTATTTTTAAATAAGAGGAACCACTAATAAATGCGTATTCTAAGAGCACACATAATGCATAAGAGTAGAACCCATGTCTGTATTTCTCTCCATTATGGTTCCACCCTGCAGTTGTCACATAATAGGTGCTTGATATGTTGGATGGATGAATGGATGGATGGATGGATGGATGAGTGGATGGATGGATGATTAAAACAGATGGATAAGGCTACTTTTGGCATTGGCAAATGTGGTCATGTTCCTGTTTTCCTCATTAGAGCAAGTGGAATAAGATCTTAAACATCTCTGTGACTCATTGGAGGACATTCATATAGAATTTAAAAAACTAGCAATCATATCACTGTCTCATAATTTTGCTACCACTCTGAGAGTGTCCTCAATTATTCTCCCACTAAGTAACACTTTTCTTTAGTGAAGGGAAGCTTGCTTTGTAAATATCTTACATAATTATCCTAAATCCTACTACAGGTTGGAGCATTATGTAGTCTAATCTTCACAGCATATCCTAATTAAGAAAACACAAACTGGCAGCCAAAATTAATTTTTTTAATTCTTATATTTCGTGGTAGTTTTCAAACAATGTTTATAATCTCAGTCCTATTCATAACAAAGTCAGTCTTATTTGTCTTTTCTTATACCTCACTTTTAATATGTCTAACACCCTAAAGCTATCTCAAAGCTTTTCTCTCTGTAACTCAAATTGCACCTAAAATTTACCCAACAAACCAAATCTGCAAGTCTCTTTTCATTTCTCCCCCCCTACTTTTCTTTCTAGCTCCATTTTTTTCTTCTATCTTTATTCAGTGAGTCAGTCTTGGCCATTTCCAAAGTAAAACCCAACCCTGCATCTCGAAGTGGCCCAAGTACTTTGCATAAAAATAAAGAACTGACTTAGTGCTGGAGATATAGCTCAGTGCTAGAGCACTTGCCCAGCATACATGATGCCCTGGGTATGATTCCCAGCATTGTAAACAAAGAACAATGTAGCAGGTTCAAGCCAGCCTACTAAAACCTTATCTCAAAGGTTTTTTGTTGTGTTTCTTAAAAAAAAATTTTAAGTCTCTGGGGATGTAGCTCAGTACAAAGGCCTTGGGTTTAATCCCCAAAACTGAGAGGGAGAGGAAAAGAGTGGAAAGAGGGGGAGGGGGAGGGGTGGGGAAAAGGAAAGGCAGAGAGAGAGAAAGAGAGAGAGGGAGAGAGGGGGAGAGACATGAGTTTAGGGAAACCAGTGAAAGTAATAACAAAATGACTTGTGATAAAGATGAAAAGCTTAATGTGGAAAAAGTGTGGTTTCAGAGATTGTGAAAATAAGCAATCATGATGTCAGAAGGCTGAGAGGATAGTTATCATATGAACTTCAGACTAGAAATGAAATCTGAAACTTGGCCAGAAAAGACTCAACTGAGATACATGAAATGATGGCTATACCAGTTACACTGATCTGATTGTACATGCATACTGACGTCACCCTTAAATGTGTAAAATAACCATGTTTTAATTAAAATTTAATTTTTTAGAGGTCACATGTTTATACCTGGAAAAGGAGAGATACCATCTTAATTCTGGAAAAAGATTAGGATGTGAATAACGCACTCATTTTAAGGGTGAAACACTGAAACTGACCTTGAACTATATTAACTAAGCTAATTACATATATCATGCTTATTCATGGTTAGTTAGTTCCTTCTGAATCACACAATGTAGTAAACTGACTCATGCCTTTGAAATTATTTATTGATAATGTAATAATTTGGGTGACATCTTGGAAAAGGGACACAGAAGCAACTCTAAGAGTTTAGAGTTTAAAGAGAGAAACAAACACCAATCTTCTTAGCGGAAATTATGATGGTTGAGTTCGTCACCTCAAACACACATTGTCTTCTTTTGAGGTCTTCTTTAAGATTTCATCACAAAGAATCTTCCAGATCACAATTGACCTACTTCATTTTAATAAAGAATCCTTCAGAGTTTGTAAAACCTCTTCACAGGGTAAGAAGCAGAAAGAAAACTCTATCCCAATCAGACAAAAAAAAAAAAAAGAACCATCAGACTCCACCTAGACATTCACCACTGTCCCCTGAAATACATCAGAAGTGAAAAGTATAGCCGGGTATGGCAGTGCACTATAATCCCAGCATTCTGGAGACTGAAGCAGGAGGACCGCTGCAAGTTCAAGGCCAGCCTGAACTACATAGCCAGACTTTGTCTTTAAAAAAAAATAGTGGGTGGAAAGCACAGCCCACCCACAGCCCAGGCCCTGGACTGATCTACCCAGCAGTCAGAGATCCCAAGGTTGTAGCTCCTCTGCAATCCGCTGCTTACATTAAGAATCAAATCCGTTTGTCTGTGAAGACCGTTGGGTTCTCAAGCAACAGAGCTGTATGTGCTGGAATAGGTTTCCTGACTACTCAGGATGAGCAGGGGGTCTTTACGGGTAACCAGAGGCACCAGGGTGAAGTCCTCGTTTGAGTAAAGGAACAGCCCTCTGGGGCCTCAGGTTACAGTGGAAATGCATACTTCTGAAAATCTAAGTGTGAGGATGCATTACAGCTGAGGAGTCAATTGCACAGTCAGGAGCTACCACCCACTCCTCAGGGAAGGGTGTTGTCTGCAGCTCCCACACAGCACCTAGCACAGCACCTGGCATCTCATCTGCCCCTCACTAAAAGCCTATTGAATTTGTGAATTAGCAAGACAAAGCCTTCAGAGCAGGAGAGCACCCTCTTGCTGCTTTTCCCCATCAGCGATATCAGTCTGAGGAAACATCAGGGCATAGGTCCGGACTAAGGTCACAAAACCAGAGGAGCAAGTTACAAGGAGGCTAGCTGAGGGATAGGACTGGTGGGGACACAGGACATCCCTACCCTGCTGAGCACTGGGAAAACTTTTGCAAAAGATGTATATCACCAGACAAAGGCCTCATTGGTTTGTGATTGACAATTCAGTCCCACTGCAGAGATGTCTAAATTGTGACCAGCACAGGAAGTGCAGTGTTTGTCCACCAAGACATCTCCTCCATCCACTGCGGGAGCAAACAGACTATCATGGCTCTGCCTGTGGGTCAAACCCGAAAGGTCCTTGCGCAAGGCCAGGAAATTGGAGCAGGGAAGAAATGAGAAAGGCAAACCTGTGCTGTGGCAACTCCCCTTTCTGTGGACTGTTGCCCAGCTCTGGCCCAAACACAGGGTGGCCACAACTTCTGTACCCGGGCAGCATCCTTATGTGGCACAGTCAGATCCAGGAGTGAGGGAAAACTGCCCACTCAGAGTAGATAATATCTGGAAGGAATGAATATTTGGGAAAAGTCCCGGTGCTAGTTTGGTGCCAACCCGTCCGCACCTTTTCCAGCCCCCTCCCACTGGTTCCTCCCCTTTCAGCTGCTCTGGTTCTTATAAAAACTCAGCCTTTCCCTAACAGCCTGTAGGAGCCTCTCCCTACTGCTGCCTGCCAAGACACAAGATCCACCCCGGGGACCCTCAAGCCATCATGAGGAGCCTGCTCCTGCTCACCGTCCTGGCTGCCTTAGCCGTGCTGACTGTGTGCTACGGTGAGAAACCTTTCTCTTTGCAGTCCGTCTCTCTGACTTTCCTTTTCTACCTCTAACTTCCTTTCACTTCTGCTTGTCCTCTCCCTCCTCTTTTCACTGTTAAAATCTCAGAGTGTATGAATTTAACTTTTCCTGGTCTCCATGGACATGGATCTCTTCTATCCAGTCTAGTCTATGTTCTGAATAGCTAGATGTTTATAAGTAACTCAACAGGCAAGTCCTTGCAGTGGTAAATCCTTGCATACCTAGAAAGAGCTATTTCAAGGGGAAGACACCAAATTTCCAGCCCTGCGTTCTTAGTTTTAAGGATTTTTATTTAGACTTCAGTATCAGTGGATTAAAGATATTTGCCGAATTACTTAAAGAAAAACTTTTAAGTTTTCAATGGGAAGTGTTACGTAGAATTCTTTCTGGAGACAGGACAATGTCATAAATTACTTCAGTGAATTAATTTTAAAAATGAAGTTTTCTTTTAAAGAATTTCAGAAGTTTTATTTGAAAGCATCTCAGAATTCAATTTCATAACTTCTATTATCAAAAAAAATTATTTGTGGTGTTTATATGCCGTTAAATCTGTATTTGTTCAAATGTTACAAAAGGAAATTTGAAGCTGAATTATTTCCATGACTCTCACTTTACAATTCCATTATCCAGACATTTTAGTTGTTTTTAAGCCTAAATTACATCAACAACCCTAAGTATTATGTTTCTTACTCTTGAAGTTATTCACGAATTCTCTGTACAGGAGGATCTGATGCTGTCATCTCCTTTCCAATTTTTCAAGCAAACTCACCTGGTCACATATGTGAGCCTCTTAGTCTCAAATGTACGTGCTGAACTCAGGAGCAATAGAAAGAAAGGCCCTGCTGTGACATCTTCTCTGCGCTGGTCTTGTGCCCAAGCAGTTGTCAGCTGGAGACAGTGGTTTCTGTGGCTGCCGATTTGACATGAATTCTTAAGAGGCTTTCGGAACACTCTTAAGAACCCATCCTGGTCCAGCCTGGCTGAGTGCTGGAACCCTCCACCTAGAAAGGCCTGCCTGTTCCTGTACCCTCTGTACCTTCCTTGACTTTATTCATAAACAGGTCCCAAGTATTTGATAGAAAAAAGGCTCCCCGGAGATTTCTACACAGCATCTCAAATGTTGGATTGTACTTGTCTGAAGACCTCATAGACGCTGGGAAATTTTAGCCAAGATTTGTCACTATCTCCTTCAGTGTTAGATAAATAGACATAGAGAAATCTACAGAAAAAAATGCCTAAGTCCTAAATGCCTGAAATATGTAATAACCCAATTGCTACACATGTTCTTCACACTGGACCTTTTCCCTCTCTTTCCATCCCTGTACTTATTTAGGCTCTAGTAGCATGTAATTAAAAAAACAACTACATAATCAATCTTTCTTTTTTTAATTCCAGAATCTCACGAGAGCATGGAATCCTATGAAATTAGTAAGTGAATATTTGACTACCTTATTTCAATCTCTGGCACCAAAGAAGTTCTCCCTATTCGAAAATAAACAAATCAGCAAAACATGTAACAGAAAGGACTTGTTTTTGGAAAACTCAAGTCAGTATAAAAATCAGCCAAATGCACAATGCTGAAAGCTTGCAGCAGTGTAATATGACATTTAAAATACCTTCAACATACTTAGGAAACATAAAATCCCACATGGAAATCTGAAGCTGGCACCACACCAGCCACATAAATGGAAAAGGAGGAGTAATCACACACGGCAAAGACCAGAAGGAGAGGCCAAGGGAGCTGGGAGACCACAGGCGTCAGCAAATGGAAGGCTGTGGAGCATCTAGACTCACAAAGATGGAGTACAGCGAGAAAGAGCGTAGTGTGCCTGTTTTTAATATGTAGATTATCTTTGTAGTGCTGCAACTGCTCATGTACTCATAATCTACATTATGCTTTATCATTTCTCAAGACAGAGAGAATTTCCTCCTCAAATAAACCAAAACATGCTGAGTAGGAATGACTAAACCTGAGTAGAGCTAAGGGATTGCCCAAAGACAAAAAAAAAAACAACGAAAACCTGCGGTGGCCCAGTGATGTGTCTGTAAGACACAGAAATGGGTTACTCATTTCTTTTCATGAGAAAATTATAAATTCTGCTTTATCTCACCTTTTCATTTTTGTCTCTCTCTAATTACATAATATACAGTAAATTAATGACCAAAAGTATCTTTGCACAAGGGAATATTCACTGAAATGTTTATAGCTGCTGTTTCCCTAAAGTGGCACTTATTTGTTTTTTGTTTTAAGGTCCCTTCCTTAACAGAAGAAACGCTAACACCTTTATGTCGCCGCAGCAGAGATGGCGCGCTAAAGCCCAAGAGAGGTGGGTGACAGAACTTGACACTGGGCTGGTGGTGGGTTTTTCTCCCAGGGCAGCGTCTCAGATCTGAATGGACTGAGAAATGGGTTTCATCATAGATTGTTTCCAACTGTGTCTTAAAGAATTTCAAAACGGTACAGAAAGCAACCGAATATTTAGAAAACTCTTGCGAAAGACTCAAAAAGCAGAGGGAAGGAAGAAGGAAAGGATACAGAAAGAAAACATCTGCTCTCATTAAAAACAAACAAAAAAACCGGGTTTGCCTTCCCTGTCTGCTCTTCAAATATCTCTTGATATTGGCAGGAAGGACTCTCCAGCATTTCCTTAGGCTTTCTTCTTTCTTCTCCATTCTTTTTATGCTTCTCAATGCTGGTCTCTCTGTCCACTTTCTAGGGTCCGAGAACGCAGCAAGCCTGCCTACGAGCTCAATCGGGAAGCCTGTGATGACTACAAGCTGTGCGAACGTTATGCCATGCTTTATGGATACAATGCTGCCTACAATCGCTACTTCCGGAAGCGCCGAGGAGCTGAATGAGAAGGGGAAAAAAAAAAATCTCTTTTGTTCTGGAATCTGAAGCCTGGTTTTGTATCCCCTTGCAGTAGCATTACTGAAATATGCAGACACAATACAACGCTTGTTTCTTACATAATCTCTTGCCTGGGTGCACCCCTCCTTCCTGCCCCCAGATTGTTGAATAAGGAAAGTGCAATGTGTTAAGATGTGTGATTATACATACATAATAAACTCCTGGTTGGATACTTTCATTTTGTGAATGCGATTTCTTCAGGAAAAATTATGAGATACTTAAATTATGGCCCATCTAAGGCAGAATAGGACACTCTGTTAATCTGTGCCGAGTGACTAGAAGCACAACTACATAGAAAGGATGAAATGTAAAGGCACTTATCCAGCCCTTATTCCAGGGATGGTGAACCTTTTAGAGCTTTCAATGATACAAACAGCCTGCTGCAGCAGGTATGTTACAGGTTCGCCACCACTGAACTTTATGTTGCATGATTGTTTCCTATTATGTGTTTTCCGGGATTTTCTAATCATAAGAGTGGCAATTATGAAGATCACTTTACTCGTTTCTCATCTTTTGTATATCAAAGTAAAAAATGACTACAGTATCAAGGTAAGTTAGTAAAAGATAAAAAAGAGTGAAAGGAAAATTAAAAAACAGAAAGAATAAATGAAAAACAAATGGTAAGATAATAGATTTAAACCTAACCATATTAATAGTCACATTATATGTAAATAATCTAGACAACTCACTTTTTACTTCTACACATGTATATCCCACTGTACATTCTTATTATTCCTGCTTTATTCTTCTGATTGGTTTTTTTGAAAGCTTCAGATAATAGGAAAAATATTGCATATATGTGTTCATGTAATGTCCATTTCTAGTACACTTGTTTTATTGTGTGTACATTCAGATTTTTTAATTTTTTAAAAATTTTTATTTTTATTAGTACGTATGTCTGTAGTTCATAACTAGGAAAGTGATTGGTGGAATTATTAATAAAGTCACTCATTCCAAAAATGAACAGCCAGTCTTTTTTTTTTTTTTTTCTTCCTGTGTAGTTCAGGCTAGCTTGGAACTCACTATGTAGCCCAGGCTGGCCTCGAACTCTTGGCAATCCTCCTGCCTCAGCCTCCTGAGTGCTAGGATTACAGGTGTGCATCACCACCTCAGCTGAACACTCAGTCTTTATCAGGCACCCTTCCAGCCTCTAAGTGATATAGGGGAAATGCTAGAGGTCAGATGTTCCGAGTTTGTGTTCCCTAAAGTCAAAGAATAAATTCTGAGAAGCCTTATAGGTTAAGAGCATGAAAATTTATTGGAGGAAAGGAATAGGGAAAAGGGATGGGGAACAGGAATAGCTCCTGAGAGATAGGAGGGGTCCTGAATGTATTGCCCCAGATTTTCATCTAGTGCTATTTCCCTCCTGCTTAAAGAACTTGTTTAACATTTCTTGTATCTACATTTGCTGGGTTCTTTCTTTAACCCTTTTTATTGATATGTAATGCATAATATTTACATTTATTTGGAGATATTGATACATATATATCGTACTTTATCATTTTTATCCCATTTACCCCTACCATTCACCCTCCGCTTTGCCCCTGATAATTTTTCTCATCTCCAAAACCCCTATATTTTACTATTTTGAAATTCTTGTGCAAGAGAAACCATGCAATATTTAACTTTCTGAATCTATTTTATTTCTCTTAACCTTATGTCTCAAGACCCATCCATTTTTCTGTGTATGACATGAAATCATTCTCTATGGCTGAAAGACTATTTTGTAGTTTAGGTTTTAAAAATATGTTCACTATATATATCAAATTCTACATAGCCAGCTTTTGCTCTCAATACTTTTTTATTTTAGAGAAATAAAAAACAATGAAAATGATACGGAATTTCAAAGCAGGATGATAGGCAATTAACAATGGATATTATAGTGCACACTGTTATCTTCAAAGTAGTTGCTCAGATTACCAGGTACAGGCATGCAGATTTGATTAAACAATATAAGCACTAACTATTCCTTTCAATGAACTAATAGAAAATTAGTAGTACAGTTATCTCAGCTATCTTGTGTATATATACATATCTTTCTTTCCCTTCCTTCTTTTCTCTTTTCTTCCATCCCAGTTGTTCTTTCCTTTTCAATAGTTTCTTTCCCCTTTCACAATATCCATTGTACCTTTTGGACCTTATCTTTACTCTTTCAGTTTCTTACACCAGGGAGATGATATGATGTTTACTCATGCAATTCTGAATTATTTCACATATGAGTATGGCCTCTAGTTGTATCCATTTACCTAAAAAAGCCTCGAGTTTACCTTTCTTTATAGCTGAGTAGTACCCCATTGTATAAAAATGCCACATCTTTTTTAACCATTTGTCAGTTGACAGACATTTGGATTGTTTCCAAGATTTAGTTATTACAAATTGTGCTGCTATAAACATGAGTGCACATATATCGCTGCGGTATGATGTTTTCATTTCTTCTAGGAAAATACCGAGAAGGGGAATAACTGCGTCAAATGGGACCTTTAATCCTAGTTTTTCAAGGAATCTCCACATTTGAGTTCCACAGTAGCTGTACCAATATACATTCACACCAACAGTGGAGGAGGGTTCTTTTTCCCCTGCAGCCCCACCATTATTGTTATTGGTTGATTTATTGATGATAGGCATTCTTTCTGGGAAGAGATGGAATCTCAGTGTTGTTTTACTTTGCATTTCTCAAATAACCAATGATGTTGAACATTTTTTCATATATTTATTTGCCATTT